TATATAATACATAACATTTTCGGGATAATGATACATTTGTGGTGAGTAGATGAGCGCATCAAGTTGAGGTCAATACACGAAAGGGGAAAAATTGTTTGATGGAGTGTTTGAAGCTTTTTCTTGTTTCTAGGGTTATTTGTTAACTAGGAGAAGACATTTTAGAATTTATGAGAGTGAGAGAAGTTTGATGTTGTGAAGTTGGTGTGGAATTAGTTGGAAGATATAGAAGTATTTATAGAGATTGGATGATATTTTTAAAAAAATTGAATTTTATAAACTTTAACGGTTAGTTTTTTTTAGAAAATGGTTTAGTTTGTATTGAGGAAAAAAAAGTTGAAAAAATTAAATTGGTAGGTTAAATTAGTAAATTTTGGAAAAAAAAAACAAACAAAAAAATTACAAAATAGTCGTTGCCTCCCTCTCTCACCTCGACAATGAAATGTCGTTTGAAGTCTTAGAACTCGGCATGCCACACTCGACGGACGGTATATACTACCTATACCGAGCAAATGTCCACTCCACTCCGCTCGGTCTAAATGCTAACATTACTCGCAGTTGACCTGTCTCTCATAAAAGAGGAGATTATCTTTTTCTTTAAACTTAACAAAGAGCTTGCTTAATCATTTGATGGGCTCATATGTAATATTTATTATTAATGAAAAACTTCCCTTTTAAGCTTTCTATAACTATGTTATAGAATTGGCATGAAAACTTTACTATTAATGGATGTTATTAATGTTGTGTGTTTTCGAACGAAAGTTGTTATCAATGCATTTTTGTAGAAAGTAAAAACTTGAGAGAGAATTGATAATATTAATAAATGCATTTAAGAATTGAACTCTATTCAATTTAATACTCTATCAAATAATTATTCTACTTTTTTTAGATACAATCTTAGTATTTCTTATGTTGAATTAGGCGTATATCCATATGTTACGCAAGATAAATTATATGGCTAAAAAAACGCTTCTTTGTCAATAATGTTTTTTAAGTCTCTTAACCATATCTTCACAAGCATTTAGAATGACCATGTCTTTTTTTTCTTTTTACCTAAGAAACTTTCATATATAGTTACCATGTGTAACAAATTTCTTTAGGTAGATATATAAAAATGGACCACCATCTAACGAATTTGTTATTATATTTCATCTACATACAATAAACAAATTTTTTGTAAGATAAAAAACATATAGAAAACATATGATAATTTTAGAAGATTTTTGTATATTTCGATGGATTTTGTAGTCACACACCTATGTCACTTTTTTAATTTTCGTTGTAACCATTGCATATAAGATATGACTTTGACGTTATTTTGTTAATTTAAAAATACATATCTTTTATATATATATATATATATATATATATATATATATATATATATATATATATATATATATATATAGACACACACTAGAGAACAAAATACTTTAAAAGTTAAAATTTAAGTTATAAAAATGATCGATTTTTAAAGTTTTAAATAACATGTTGTTTGATAAAATTTAAGTGCATGATATTTTTTTTCTCTTTTAAAATATATAATATATTGCCGTTTTATTATTAAAAATTAAATAAGAAAAAAGTTACCAATTTGGTTTACTCAAAATACTCAAGTCAAGATAATTTTCAAATATCAACTAAGATTTAGATTGAGTTTAGTCGTTCGATGTATAAAGCTCAATGATCAACCTTATATAACATACGTTATTTTGGAATCGGTACCATCACATACCCATTAATTGTATATTTAAAGTTTTTAGATTTTTAATGACAATGACTTTATTCATCATATATCCTCATTTATGGGTAAAAATTTCATCATGTTTTTTTAACTAGTTATACGATTTAAATATGAATATTAAAAAGTAGCACTTATAAAGAAAGAGTTGATGTCATAAAAGCCTTTAAGTTTTCAAGAAAATATTTGGTTTTACCTTTTGGGGTCTTTTAGGTTCATTAAAACCAAAAATTTGCATATTTTTTACGATTTTACTCTTTTGACAGGTTTTTTTTGGAAAGGGAACTTCCCTAACGAGGGTTTCCGGGCCAGCTTTCGCGCACCGACTAATCCCCCGCTACAAACATGAGGGTTCCCGATTCGGGAACCGGTTGTTGCACATGTGACACGCCACGTCAGCGATGATTCGACCCATTCAGATGACATGGCGATGATTGTTAATTGATATCATTTGCTTATTTAAAAAATGGAGCGAATAAGGAGGAATACGGAGAGAACGTGTTTTGAACACCCGACCTCACAGAACAAATACAATCACCTTACCTCTAGGCTGAACTTTCTATATGTAATTACGCCTGAATCTTTAAATATATTATAAAATACTGATATTACTATTATTATTACTTTTATTATTTTTATTATTTTTATTTTATTATTAATATTTTTATTTATTATTATTATTATTATTATTATTATTGATATACACCTACATTTTTATATAAAGCAAGTTTTTTGATGTATAAAATATGTTTTTTTTGCTGTATAAATATGTTTTTAAATATATAAATACTTAAGTACGCATGTATATATTTAAAGCACATGTATATATCTTTAAAATATATTTATTTATTAAAAAGTTGTGTTTATATGTATAAATAAAATTTTAAAGATAAAAAATACGTTTTTAAAAGTATAAATATATTTGAAGGTATTTATATGGTTTATATTTGTGGTTTATACAATATAAACCATATTAATAGGTACTTTCATATTTATATGTATATTATATTTATTTATGTCCAATGTTCTAAAAAGTTGGTTATTGCTCCTTAATGGCGCGCCATGGCTCCAAGTCTTTGTACCTCCCGCCAAACTTTACCAAAATGCCGCCTAACTCATATATGTGTATAAAAATGAATAATAGTTGAAAATACATATAAAAATATTAATTATATACAAAATTGTCGTTTTAAGTCACGTCTTACAAACAATGTGGCTCGCCAAAGCTTGAGGCTTGACATTGCCGCCAAGTTACGCTTTACGTTATTTAGAACCTTGTTTATGTCAAATAAATATAAATTTAAACATTTGCAATACAAATAAATATAATTTTTTAATGCGTTAATATGTTTTGTAAATGTGTAAATACGATTTTAAAAATATACATATGCTTTCAAATATATAAATACATATTTAAATATATAAATATGTTTTAAAACGCGTAAATACCTTTTTATATATATTATATATATATATATATATATATATATATATATATATATATAAACATATTTTTTAGCTTTAAAAAATTATTTTCATATTTTAAAACATAAATCTATATTTGAAAAATACTTTTGTATTTAAAAAGATATGTATACATTAATAAAAATATATGATAAGAATAAATAATAATTTTAATAATAAAAATAATCTAAGTAATATTAAGTAATAATTACAATAATCAATGTTAGTTCTTATATTTAAAATGTCTGCATAGAATACACAAAAAGTGTCGCAGCCTAGTGGTTATAACATATGTTAGCTATACGGAATACGAGGGTTTGAATCTCATTCGTCTTTTTTCTTCTCAACAACCTTCATTTTTAAGCAAATGATTCTTAACGCCACGTCAACCACAAATGCACAATCATTGCCAACGTGGCACGACATATGTGCGGGGTAACCGACTGATGACACTCAAACCGACTAAAAGGACATAAGTGCAAAAATTTAACAAAACCTCCGGTTTTAATGAACTTAAAATTAGCGAAAGGGTAAAACCAAACATTTCTTAAAAACATAAGGGCTTTTATGTCATTATCCCTAAAAAATCATCCTAATCACCTATACGAGTAAACCATGGTAAGAGGCCGTTAAAAAATTTAGTTTTAACTTATTTTATATAGTAATATAGTTTAAATTGTTATATAATTTTGTATCAAATTGGAATGAAACTTTATATGTTATAAATAATGATAACAAAATAGTTATTTTCAATCAAACTTACATTTATATCTATATTTATATTTATGGTGTTTATCATATTAACTTAGATTTTTTTATTAACTTTCACTTAATGTAAAAAAAATTACTATATAATAGTATTTCTTGTTTATCTTTGTTGAACTATAGTAAATAAAGTTATAAATAATTTAAACATAATTATATCGATATTAAATCAACATTATATTTAATTTCTTAGTAAATGAAAACTCTAATGAAGTGTATTAATTTAGAAAGTAAATTGAATATTATGATGATTTCAAATCAATGTAATAAAAAATAATTGATTTATCTTTAACCATAGTAAACGTTGAAAAAAATGGTTTTATTTATAATATTTATATAGATATAGATTCTATAAAAGTTCAATGGAACACTTAAATTAAACTTAAAAACTTTTATTTTTCACCTCAATTAATTCTTATATTAAACTATGCATGTGGACGCTCTTTAACTAATGTGTTTTTGCGTTGCACATAATTAAAATTATATCATTAAAAAGTATTGACAAATCTGATATAAATTTGAAACATTTTTGGTATAAATATATCAAATTATTTATAAATCGGTCATCACAATTCATATTAAAAAATAGTAAAACACATCATCTGAGCATCCACGTCAACTCGCCTCAAAGTCTACATAAGATGTCATGTACGAAACATTATTGATATTTTGGACACGTCTAGAGTTTGAACTATTCATATCTTGTATGAAATTTCACACCTCAACCATTAAACTCCTATCACATAAACAAAAATGAATTGATATGATTTATAGAAACAAAAATGAATTGATATGCGTCACAATTTATATTGCACATCAATAATAAAGCTTTCATAAGAAAACTCGAACCAAATAGATAATCACATCTTTGAAGTTTGATGTTAGTCATAAAAAACCATATTTACTTGAATTGCCTCAAAATATAAAATAAAACATACGGACAACATCACGATTTTAACAAAATTACTATCAACGTAGGTCCAGCCCTATGCAAACGTTATCTTCGAAAAATCTTTTATATTCGTTTTAGATAAAAAGAATTGGCCAGGTCCAAATCTTCAATACTTCAATCTATTATTGTGATTATCCGATGGAATGAGATGCTTTCTATTTTTAACTTTTTAATAAATTCGTCGAACTTTTGATTTCTACGCGATTCATGCCATTTGAGTTTTGAAACAGATTTATTTGAGTCTAAAACCTCAACGGAATCTTCTTAATAAAACTCACATCTCTCTTCAGTCACCATAACAGCCGCCTCCGACCTCCATCGTTGCCACCAGTCCGATCGGAAACATGACGATGGAGGGTTTCCGGGTACTTGACGAGAAGTCGTTGAGAGAATACATCAAAGCCACACCATCTTTGGCTTCCAAGCTCGGGAATGAAGTTGATAACTTCAAAATTAAAGAAGTTGGAGACGGCAATCTCAATTTCGTCTACATCGTCATCTCTCCATCTGGTTCGATCGTCATCAAACAGGTTTTTCCCCCAATTAAGAGTTCGAATCTTCATAATCAGACAATTTTGTTAATATTACGTCTTTTGTGTGCTTCGAGGGTTTAATCATCAATCACGAAGATCACTCATAACTTGATTTAAGTTGGTTGAGTAATGATTTACTATTATAGAATGTTTTATTCTTCTATCTTCTTCAATTCGCCTAACCATAATCTAGGTATTTCTTCATATCGACTTAACTTTCTTCCATATGGGCAGGCTATACCTTATGTTCGTTGTATCGGCGAATCATGGCCAATGACGAAGGAAAGATCTTATTTTGAAGCCACAGCTCTTAAACGTCAGCATGGTTTGTCCCCAAAACATGTCCCAGAAGTTTATCACTTTGATAGAACCATGTCACTTATTGGTATGCGATACATTGAGCCTCCACATATAATCTTGAGAAAAGGATTGATCGCTGGAGTTGAGTATCCATTATTAGCAGAACACATGGCTGAATTTATGGCTAACACTCTCTTTTACACCTCTCTTCTCTATCTCACAACTACACAACACAAAAGTGCAGGTGACCCTTTACTCCTGTTTATAAGAAGCGTTATAACTCTCATTATATTCTGCATAAATGTATGAAAATAACTCATGTGTTTACCACTTGCAGTGGCTGAATTTTGTGGAAATGTGGAGTTATGTAGGCTAACTGAGCAAGTGGTGTTTTCAGACCCTTACAGGATTTCAGAATTTAACCGTTGGACTTCACCTTATCTTGATACTGATGCAGAAGCAGTTAGAAATGACCAAATATTAAAACTTGAAGTTGCTGAGCTTAAGTCTAAGTATACAGACTCAATTACCTTTTTTACCCTCTTGAATCTTGATCTTCTATTAGATTTCCCATTTAGGCATTTACATATGATATTGAATTTGTGCAGGTTCTGTGAAAAAACACAAGCTTTAATACATGGTGATCTCCATACAGGTTCTGTCATGGTTACACATGAGTCAACTCAAGTCATTGACCCAGAATTTGCTTTTTATGGGCCAATGGGGTTTGACATTGGTGCTTTTATTGGAAAAACTTGTTTTTGGCTTATTTTGCACAAGATGGACATGTGGATCAAGGGAATGATCGAAAAGTATGTAGTTTTGATTTAATTTTTAATTAAGATTTTGGGTTTTAAAGTGGTAAATATTGTGAATACAGACATATAAAGCATGGATAATGGATACGATAGCAGACACTTGGAATCTTTTTTATAAAAAGTTTACATCTCTTTGGGATATACACAAAGAGGGACCTGGTGAAGCATACCTTCATGAAATTTATAATGATTTGGAGCTTCGGGAGCTCGTGAAACAGAAATACATGATGGATTTGTTCCATGATTCTCTTGGATTTGCTGCTGCCAAAATGATAAGGTAATGTAATGTTTGAGTTGTTTCACTGTTTGTGAAATGTCTAAATTACCCTTTGATTTGCAGGCGAATTGTTGGGGTAGCTCATGTGGAGGATTTTGAGTCGATTAGTGATCTTGTGAAAAGATCAGATTGTGAACGAAGGGCTCTTGAATTTGCCAAGAATCTTATGAAGAAAAGAAGAAACTTCAACACCATTGCTGATGTCATTGCTGTAGCTAAGTAGTGAATGACATGCAAATATTGTGGCTTACAATAATAGAACTTATTTTCTTGCCTTTGTTTGCTTTGTGTAAACCACTAAATATAGGAAGGTAATGTGTTGTTATAAAAATCTTGAAATTTACCTATTAAGATGTTATATTTTGATGGCTGATAATAGATGTGTAACGCCTGAGAATTTTTTTATTAACAATTTCAGTTTTCATACAAAAGAATGTCAAGAAAACTTTCTCTTGAGCATGCTAGGTTTGTTTAACTTGAATTCAATAATAAATTTTGGTTAGTGAAATAGTTTTTCACAATTTGCATGTGATTGCCATATAATTTACAATTTGCCTTTTGAGGCCTAACTTATCACATTGTAAATTAAAACTGAGATGAATTTTGTTACCAATTTAAAAATCAATATGTTCTGAAGTATCTATTTGTTATGATGTTTGATGTAGTTATCTAAAATTTCCAAATTTATAAATGATTCATATCAATATTGAAGTGCAAATTTAATATGTATGACCATGAAAGCCAAAATATATCATCTGTTTTTGGTAAGATCGGAGGTAGAGAGGTAAGTTCGAAAGATGGTTATTATTTGTTTATTTTTTAATAATTTATAATATTTTGTCTTAGACTTTCTAAGATAATCGAAAACATCTACCCATCACCCCTCTCTCCTCCTTGGAACTTCCTCTCCACCACATGTAATGTAACCCCTCCATCAATACCATATTGGTAACCATCTGACCTCGGCACACAAATGGACAAAGAAAGTATACATGGTATCACCAAGCCACAAAATATTTTCAACTTCAATACTAAAATTACCCAATCCCCCATTCCATCTAATCCCAAAAGGATGCTCTATCCGACACGAATTGGCTTAGCCATGCAAGAAAATTCAATTGCTTTAATTGCCATTGATACTTGGAACCTTGTTCTAAAATCTCACAAGGTAGATATCATTTGTTCCATGTAGATCTTCTGTCATAAATTCAACTATAAGGGTTCTTTTGAATGACATAAAACACGCGTCGTTGGCGACAAGTGTAACATACACGTTCGTTATCGTGTTATGTAATTTTAAAAGTGAAAAATATAATGTAATATTATATGAATTTGAGCGTTGAGTTCTAACAGATAGTTTTTACTAGAAATGAAGTAAGACTATGTTTAGAATCACTCGGAAAATATTGGAAGTCTTATTAGATTTCAATTAAAAGTCAAATATCGAAATTTAACGAAAATATAAAATTTGAAATAAGCAAAATTTTATTATTCAAAGTTGTAGATAATTTCATTAGAAACATTTAGGCGAAAACCTCATCGAAATCCGAGTTATAACGAAGAAGTTATGACCAATCGAAGATCCGCGACAAAATCGGCACGGCGCCGAATGACGTCAAAATCGAAGGTCTCGTCAATAGTAGTACAACGGTAAAAAGACAGACGAAAACGGACATCGGATGAAGAAGTTATGAATTTTAACGGATTTTTCTGTCCCGGTCTGTTAAAAATGATAATATTAAAAATAAAATCAAAATTAGCCAACGAAGTCTAAACGAAAGTTGTAGAGCATAATTTTGCCTACGCGTGCATATAAAGAACGTCAAAAACGGAGCCCGTATGCGAAAGTTTATGGATTTTTGAAGTTTGGGGCACAAAATTCGAGAAAAATCCCAAAATCCGAGGAATTTCGCATGGTCAGACTTCGGCCACGCCACCCTCGCTCGCACCATGCCGCATGTACGAATTGATGAGTCATCCGAGGCCAGCTGTCGACCCGTGTCGCACCCTCCTCGCACCGAAGGCTCGGCCAACCAGAAGCCGCTACCTGCCTTCCCCGTGTCTCGGTCTCGCATCAGCCGCGTGTGCAGCCCTCGCATCAGACGCCTGGCACCCTCGCATGCGAGCCACGTTCCCCCCTTCGCTCCGAAGTTCCTCCTATAAATAGGAGGGTGCGAATCCTCCCGGGTAAGTTTGGAAAATTACCCATTTTCACCCCTAAATCAATATTTCTTGCATTTCAACTTCCCCCGAAGCCCCAGGATCATACCAAACATCTGAAATACGTTCCGAAGTGCCCGAAGACCCCGAAAAATTTATCTTTTTGGTTTTGAAGCCCAACCCTCGCAAGACCCGGTTTTCAAGAAAACTCCCGGTAGTGCCCCGAAGACCTCGAAAAATTTATCTTTTCGGTTTTGAAGCCCAACCCTCGCAAGACCCGATTTTCAAGAAAACTCCCGGTTTTCAACGAAGAAAGCTAATTATAGTAACAAAGTGCTGCCAAAATTACTATTTTAACCCCCGGTTATTTCACGGTGAGTTCAATATATAGGAACAATTGTATGTTATGTGTTATATGTTCAATGTGCTTTCCCGTATTATTATGATAATGAGTTATACCTTAGACCACGAAGTGTATGACATAAGCATCACTTGGGTACAGGTATGTAGCCTCTGGCCGTGTAGAGCATGTCTCGTAAGAGAATGACTTCTACCATTATGGCATTGGCAGAAGGCTAGGCAGGGCTGAAAGCCTATAATTTGCTTGCCAAAATGTTTATTCAGAAATTTGTTATTTTTCCATGCCATATGGGCAAAAGTCTTATTGAAGTATATCAAGTATTGAAGTTGTTATGTCTCATTGATTGTATATCTTTGAATCAAATTATCCGTTGATATGAAAAGCATGTCACATGATTCACATATGTCTTTGTTGTTTCTTGTTCCCCTTTGCTTCTTCCATATTGAAGTATATATATGGCATAACGTTATATTGTATCTATTATTGAACTCACTAAGCGTCACCGCTTACCCCTCTCAGTGTTTAACAATTGCAGGTAATAAGAATCCAGTATAGTCATATACTGTTGGAAGATTTAGAATAGTTTATACTACTACTTTTGTACTTGGGTTTACGTATGTATAAAAGCTTAAATATCCTGGGTAGTTATGTAATATACTAAAACTTAGTCGGTTTGTATCCAGTCTTATGTAAACAAATTATCAATGTAAAATATTGTTTTTTTTTAATATGCAAGTAGCATGTTTTGGAGTAACAATTGTCAAATATAAAAGTGTGGGTCTTTCAACAAGCATGCCCTACAAATTGTTGACGATATTATTCTCACCACCTCCTCACATCTACTATAAAGTATTTTGTGAAAACTAGAATGTGAGTTTGCCATGAAAGATCTTAGCCCATTCAACGATTTTCTTGGCATTCACGTAGGGCCATTCCAAATATATATTAGATCTATGACGAAAGAGGAAAAAAATATGTCCTTAAAATACACAAATTTCATTAATTTTTTATAACAACTCAATAACCGAAAGAAAATTATTTATACCAGCTTCTAAATATAACATTTTCAATTACAAAAATCAATATATTTAAAGAAAAATACTTCTTCTAGCTTTTTGAGATGCAAAATTAATAATGATATCTTCAAGATCAATCTTGTCTAGCATATCATTAATAAAGTTCATAAAATTTTTGGACTCCTTTAAAAGTGGGTCCTGAACGATCATCCTTATCACACACTCACAAACGTGCATTCACATCCTCAACCATGATCATCATGGTCTTTTTCTTTCCCCAAAGAAATATGCCATTGAACTTTTAGAGTGTGTCAGGATGAACACTTGTAAGCCAACACTTACTCTCATTGATATTAATGACAAAACAAGTGGAATAGTATGAAGATCCCACACTCTACCGCAGTCTCGTTTAGGTACTCCACTACCTTACTTTCACACACCTACACATCTCGACTATATCACAACAAGTGTTTACATGCAAGCCCATAGGACACACACATGAGTACTCTTAAGCGTATTATACACTACGTACATTTACAATATTAGTACCATATATCTATTCAACAATCTCGTTCAGCATCAAATGACAAATCACATAGAAATTGATATCCATTTTGTACCGAAGCGGGTAGCTAAAGGACACATCGGTCATCCTCGCCGAGGGAGTGCATTAGCCATACTAGAAATATATTAGGATTATTATTAGATTTTGCATTTGAGCAGAACTTCTAAAGGTTTTTTATATATTTGCAAAACAGGTACCCAGTTTCTTTCCAAGTTACATTTAGCCCCTTGTATGATTTCCAACCTTGATTTACTTTTTAAACTTCCGATTGACATTTCAACGCATTTCAGTCAATATCCGACAAAAATACGATTCAGAGAAAAAAGTTGCAACATGAATGAAAAAAATACCGTCCAGGTTCAATGTATAATTATTTTTCCAAAGCCTGCGTGCCACGCAGACAATTTCTACTACTATTCTTCTTATATTCAGTTTCTATTTCTAACGCAGTTTCATGCCTTTTTGAAAAAAGAATTTCCAACCTCAACGGAGACCAATCGGAAGAAATGACGACGGCGGAGGGGTTCCGGGTACTGGACGAAAAGTCATTGAGGGAATATATCAAAGCCACGCCATCTTTGGCTTCGAAGCTGGGGACTCATGAACTTGATAACTTGGACATCAAAGAAGTTGGGGATGGCAATCTCAATTTCGTCTACATCATCATCTCTCCATCTGGTTCGCTTGTCATTAAACAGGTTTTTCCCTAATTAACACCTCCAAAATTCATAATCTCACACTTGTTCGTGACTTGTAAGCTAACTAGTAAAGTCATCAATCAGGAAGATCACTGGCTATTAACTTGATTTCTTCATCTGGAAATACTTATTGAAGTTGCTTTTGATCTTAGGCTGTGCCTTATATCGTTTAATCGGTGAATCATGGCCGATGACCAAAGAAAGATCGTATTTTGAAGCCACAGCTCTTAAACGTCAGCATGATTTGTCCCCTGAACACGTCCCAGAAGTTTATCACTTTGATAGAACCATGTCATTGATTGGTATGCGATACATAGAGCCTCCACATATAATCTTGAGGAAAGGATTGATCGCTGGAGTTGAGTATCCATTATTAGCTGAACATATGTCAGAATTTATGGCTAACACGACTGTTTTTAACACCCTCTCTTCTCTAGCCACAACCACACAACACAAAAGTGCAGGTGACCCATTAATCCGGTTTATAAGAAGCATTATAATTCTCATTAATGTTTGCATAATATAGAGAAACCCATGTGTTTACCACGTGCAGTGGCTGAATTTTGTGCAAATGTGGAGATATGTAGGCTGACAGAGCAAGTGGTGTTTTCAGACCCTTACAAGATTTCCGAATTTAATCGTTGGACATCACCTTTTCTTGATACTGATGCTGAAGCTATTCGGAATGATAAAATTTTGAAGCTTGAGGTTGCTGAGCTAAAGTCTAAGTATATACAGACTCAAATACCTATGTTTCTTTTACGTTTTCTTTTTGATGTTTTGTTAGATTTCTGTATGCAAATTGATGCCTATATATATATATATTGCGCAGGTTTTGTGAAAAAACACAAGCTTTAATACATGGTGATCTTCATACTAGTTCTGTCATGGTTACTAAAGATTCAACTCAAGTCATCGATCCAGAATTTGCTTTCTATGGGCCAATGGGATTTGACATTGGTGCTTTTATTGGAAACTTGTTTTTGGCTTATTTTGCACAAGATGGACATGTGGATCATGAGAATGACCGAAAAGTATGTATATTATTTGACTTTTAATTGCTTCATATGAGAATTTGGATTTTTTTATAAAATTATTGTGAACGCAGGCATATAAAGCATGGATACTGGATACCATAGTAAACACTTGGAATCTTTTTTATAAAAAGTTTACGTCACTTTGGGATACACACAAAGAGGGCCCTGGTGAGGCATACATTCATGAAATTTATAATGATTTGGAGCTTCGGGAGCTCGTGAAACAGAAATACATGATGGATTTGTTCCATGATTCTCTTGGATTTGCTGCGGCCAAAATGATAAGGTAAGGTAATGTTTGAGTTGTTTGACATTTTGTGAAATGTCTAAACTACCCTTTGATTTGCAGGCGAATTGTTGGGGTGGCACATGTGGAGGATTTTGAGTCGATTAGTGATCTTGTGAAAAGATCAGATTGTGAACGAAGGGCTCTTGACTTTGCCAAGAATCTCATGAAGAAACGAAGAAATTTCAACACCATTATTGATGTTATTTCTGTGGCTTAGTAACTCCATATATATGCGTTATAGATGACATACAAATATTAATGTTCAAAATAAAGTTTGTCATAAAATTTAATAATTATAAATGATATGCAGCCTTGTACTCACTCCACAACTGATCAACTGACTTCCCAACCAAGTCAACAAAATAGTCAACACTATAACCATACCTCATCTTCTTATTAAGTTCAGCCACAAACCCATTTCTAAGACCTTCACAATAATCAAGAAACCTAGCTGTAACATCATAGCCCTGGTCCCACTTGTCACCTGACCCTGGTTGAACCCAATGGCTAGGTATGTAGCCAGCCTTTAGCCTCACAAAATCAGCAATCCCTTCAATCAATCCTTCAGGGGTCGAACCATTTCCATTCCATTGCCACACATGGGTCATCTCATGATACATCACCCCACTGAATTCTCTCCTAACATCATCATCATCATCAGCCTTGTAGTTTGCAATATATCTTGCGCTGACGTGGATCTCGTTGTTTTCACAGTAAGCAACACCGTCCATGTCATCGATGAGTAAGTGCACGTGTGTCACGTTTGCTCTTTCTGTTTTGTTTCTTTGTTGGAAAAGCCTCCATATGAACAAATTTGAGGACTTTAAGATGTGTTTACTGTGTTTGAACCCGATTTGGGTCTCGTATCTGATCCCACCTGGGGTTTGTGTAGCTGTGTTTGTGATGTTGTATTTCACTGTTGCATGGGTTGTTGGGAGGATTGATAGAATTAAGACGAATGATATGAACAGTATGATGTTTTTAGACATTTTTAGAGGTATCGCTATTGAATCCTGTTGTGCTTGTTTATATATTTGGTAGCTCACACTAGTCACATTCGTAGAGCTACATAATTAAGGAATTTTTTTGTTATAAATTACCCTAAAATATTCGTATATATATGTCTGTGTGTATCTATAGTTCCATGTGGAACAAGCCAAATTAAGGTGAAGCCTGGACACTAAATCAAGAATGGTCGATCTTTCTTAAATCAGCCGGCCAGCCGGCTATCTTAAGCCTATTAAACTATCTGTGATCCTTTCTTGAGTCCATTGCATTGGGTTGTTGTATCTTATGCATGATCTATGATACATGTGATATATTGCGAAAAAATGATGTTATAGTAATGATGTTGGGTTGGAGTAAAATAGTACAAAAAATGTTGTAAAAATAAGATTTGGTGTTAAGCAAACGGAGATGCCTTTGGTAATTGTTATATAGAAATGTTCAAAGATTATTGCACTAGAAAAATATCTACCCTTCTATCCCACAAGAAATTGTTGTTCGTGTTAGCTAATGAAGCCGATATGTTCGAATTCTAAAGTATATCATGAACTAAATTTTGTAGTGAATCAAAATTGGTACAAAATGTTAACCAAAGTTACATTGCTAGAAATAGAATAACGATTGTGGTGCATTAAGTAGTTGTAAAGTGATCAGCCTTGTACTCTATCCAAAGTTGTTTAACTGTCTTCCCAAGCAACTCTACAAAAAAAAGTCACTATACCCACTTTGCATCTTCTTATTCAGTTCAGCCACGAACCTATTTTTTAAACCATCGCAATGATCAAGAAACGTAGCCGTCACATCATACCCATGGTCCCATCGGTGCCCCTGGTTCGACCCAATGGCTAGGTGCGTACCCAGCCTTCAGGGGCGGAACACAAGCAATGTAACTGGAAGGACGGAATTAAAACCTCAAACTAAAACCATATAGACAATAAAAAATTGGTTCAAAATTATAGCATATCAAAGTTTGAAACAAAAAAACAAATAAAGAATACTGTTAAATTGCACTTTGAAATGGAACTCGTTGATTTTTGCATTTGTAAAGTCCTACACAATTGTTTCCACTTGTTTTTTCCTGATAATATATACGGCATAACGAATTTAACTAGCAATTATTAAATAACTAAATAATAAAATAAAATAACAAAAAATATACATTCTAGCAAACAAGTAAAGTTACTCTCATTTAGCTTTACATCAAACCTAAATAAATAATATATTTGACTAATTTTGACCAGTCCAATCATCAAATTCGGCCCAATTCCTTTTAGTCAAAGCTTTAATTATATTAATAAATTAGTACGATAGAGATTTATAAGGGCTCACAGAGTCGTTTCAAAGTTTGGAAATGGGTTAGGGCGGTATCCCCGGTACCGCCGACAGACGACTACTTGTTCATCTGGTTTAGCGGTTTGGATGAATTGTTTGCTTCTATTGGGTTCACCAACCCGTGAATTAAATGCTTTAACTTTTCCTTGACTATTCAACATTTTCTTTGACTATTTATTGCATGCAAGATTCCTGCCAACTTTAATTTAATTTATTGCATGCGACTAGCTTTTGAACAATATTCACCAACCCATGAGTATTTATTTTATTATTTTTTTTTGCTTTCTTTTTATAAGTTTATGATGAATACAAAATTTATTTATTTGTAGTGTTATTTGTCTGGAAATATTATACAAACCGGTTCAATTCCTCCAGTTACCTTCAATAGATTCCCGAGGCAAAGGTAAACAAACCGGTTCTAATCATAGACGCAAATCCATGCAAGGCGGTTCAAGTCAAAATATTCCATTTTCTTCTTCAACCTTCCAAAACCCAAATCCAAACTATCAACAATACCAAAATTACCAACAAAACCAAAACTACCAACAAAACCAAAACTATCCACAACAATATTACCCGGTGCAACAATCTTACAACACATTTACGCTTTCAGGGGAAAATCCGAGTTATAATCCATGTAATCAATTTTCTCTTGTGCATCAGCCCGACCCCCCCCCCCCCCATGACGAAGTCGAAGACCGAGAAATCATACATGAATTGCGCAATGATGAAACTCACCACCAGCTTCGATCTGATCTTACCGATCACATTGAACATGTCTACATTTAAACTCTAGTATATTAGTTAATTTTAATTATTGTTTTAGGATTTTAATTATTTTGTCTTTTGAAGAGTTTTTTTAATTATTGTGTATTTTTTCTATTTGTAGTGTGGTTTTTTAATTAATGTTATTTTTAATATCATTTTAGATTTTTTTGTTTTAAATTAGCAAATATTTATTTTTAAACAAAAAATGTTATATTTTATTTTATTTTATATTTTTAATTTAATTAAATGATGTGGCAAGTGGATTGAATGAGTTGGGAAATATAGGATTTCCATGTGTTGTGGGTTGGGAAAAATGGAAGTGGGAGAATAGAAAAAATTGATGTGACAGTGGGTTGAATGGATTAAGAGAGAAAAATTCCCTCCTCCCTAAGGGAATTCAAGTTTCTTCTTACTATAAACGTGACAAGTCCCATAAAGGTAGTTTCCACTAACAAAGTTCCAATACATGCTGACTGGACCTCATTGTTTGAGGTGTAAGCTACCCTGTCCATGTCGTTGATGAATAGGAGGATTTGTGATGTGTTCTTTTTTATCTATGTTGGTGTTTTGTTGGAATAGATTCCAAATGAAGGTGGTGGCAGATATTAGTGTTTGTCTGTTGTATTCTCCGCTGATCTCATTGGTGAATCGGAGGCCACCTGGTGTGGTTTCATGCAAGCCGAAAATGAAGTGTTCTACGGCTCCGGTGGGTTGCAAGAAGGATGTGTCGTCAGCCATTTATGTTGTGTGTGTGTGTGTTTCACTTTTTTATACAATGATATGTGACAGCTCATTTCTAGGGTTTTGATCGAGTCTTCTCCAAAAAATTTAAAGCTAATTAATAGATGAAGTTCATGTGAAGCTTTTTTTATATATATTGGACTAAACAAATTTTGGATTTTCAACAAGAGAATAGCCTATAAAATATAAATAATTATTTTAACATGGTAGATATCCATTATATGCAATTCTTTACATATGTGTTACTTTATTCATTGAACCAACGTCTTGGAATTATATTCAAGTTTTTATTAGATAAACTCATATGGATTTTTTTTGAAACGACAAATATACTCTTAAACTACTTCTAAATTATTCCACCTATGTCCACTCTGAGACTTGAACCCTCAACCACAAGGAGGAAGGACAACATCGGATACCGCTAGTTATGAATTCAAAACTGGTGATTACCATGTCGCGTATGGATAGATTGCTATATTATGATTTTTTTTTATTACGGTATTATATATACTATTAATTGTTAAAAACTTGAGGTATAGTAACTTTTTTTCTCTTTCATGTTTGGCCACAGAAGTTTTTATTCTCATTCTAAAGACACTTCTGGGTTTTAATTTTTGCCGCACACCGAAGTCTTCTCCTTTCTTATTTTGCCACTGTAACTTGTGCTTTGGCTTATGTTTATCTTCTCTTCCTCAAAGTCGGTTTGCCGCCATTGTCCTCCAATACGGTTCATTTCTCTTTCTTTATTTCTTTCCCCTTTCTTCTTTACTCTTCCTTCTTCTTTGCTTCTTTGCCTTTCCCCCGGGTTAATCCATCCATCGGTGTTCGCGAAGGCGGTCGGTGGAAGTGCTCGGCGGAGCGTAGACCCCTCCAACGTCTCTATCATCGTCCCTTACATCACTCTGCTTCGTTCCGGTTTTACATCGGCTGGCTACGTCTAATTTCATTTCATTCTTATGTAGGTTTCGTCGATTTTGAAAGGGGCTTCAAGGTTGGCTTGCGAATTCCAGGTATCTCACCCCTAATTTTGGATTTGAAATAGCTTAGAGTTTGATTTTATTGTAACTTCCCTCCAGACTTCATCACTATTTCTGCTGTGTTTTTGGTTTCACCCAATTTTTTACTTTCTCCTCTAATCCGTGTCGTCTTCTTCACCCAAATTAGTAATAATGATTATAAATTTTGCTAACTTGCAGGGCCTCTTTTTTGCATAAGCCCCAGCCCTCAGAACTGCTCGGACCGATCCTGCTACTAATAAATAGTTGACTCTAGATTACTTTCGATTTTTCTGTTTTGAGGGTATTTGGTTGAAAGGACTGACCCTGTGTTGTTTTTTGGTCACGGGAAGAAAAAAGGAGGACTGCAGCCGTCCATGGCGGTGGTGCTGACCATCAGACACAACTATATGGTGTCCATGGTAAGTCACGATTCCTGCTGGTATGCTTCTGGTGAAGGTTTGTTCATGTATGATTCTCTATTTACTCACTGAAAATTCTATTAACTTTCATATCTTTGATTAGGTAAAAGGCATCAATTTTTCAGTTGTGTTTTCTGAACAACAATTCACGTGTTTAACATCAAACAGAGGTCATAAATGAAAAAACAATAAAATGGGGCAAAAAACGCATGATTGGTTTTTATTTTTATTTGGACCTACAACTATGTTTACATAGCATTTAACTTTCTGGAATGCACTCCAGCTGTTTGTGGAAATGTCAATATCAGTATTTTGTTATTAATACATCTCTTTCTCGTCTGATTGTTTTTGTTTAGGTTGATGAAAAAAAAGTAATGGAAATGGAACTTTTAATGTTTTCTTCTCTTAAATAGAAGATGATTTCAGTAACCCTACTTGCAATCTTCTATTACATCAAATACATTGAAAGTGGGAAGAAGGTATAAAAAATTAATTTCCTCATCTAATTTGATGGATAGTTTTTAATTGCTTGATGTTTTACCGAATTCTGAGATTTGCACCTGAAAGCTTTTGTATCTTTATATGATTATATCACATTCAAATGAATTCCCTTTTCTGCCTTGAGCCTGTTTAATAGAAAACAAAGGAACATATGTTGATTCTGATGGTCCGTTAGTCTGATTCTTGTGTTATTAGAATATTAATAGGTCATTTTGCTATTTCAGC